ACACTAAAACCGGAAGCTTGCGATCATTGCTAGGAAACAAGGAAAGTGCACACTAAAACCGGAAGCTTGCGATCATTGCTAGGAAACAAGGAAAGTGTACACTAAGACTGGAAGCTTACGATCATTTTTATCGAATACTTTTACGGATAGTATATTGCGCACGTGATATGATTAGATGTCATCTACACATGACATACCACGTATACACGCCCGAGGCATTACTCTGTTATCACCAACTTCAAAAAATGGTTTGTTTGAACTATTACCCCAGTGCTCACACTGGATGAACTCTACAATTATGCCCATTAGCAGATAACATGTATGTAAGGATAGGTTTGGTGCTCTTTCCTATACAAAAACACTCACAGTGTGTACAAAACTAAAATACAATATCCAGTAAAGTAAATGTTAACTCGTACTTAAAGCAGATAAGCTACTACAAACAAAAGCTCGTTTTATAAATACAGCATGCCACGAAAATACGTTTTGTTGTGTATACACACACACACACACATATATATATATATATATATATATGATAGTACTTAATGCAATATTAACAGATCCAGTGCTGCCACTGAATGTAGGTAAAACATTCTCGATGTGTTTTATTATATAGATGTTTAAACGTATACACTGCTTGTAATTACGTTTTTTAATCAGAATATGACAACTGTTACTCAGTCTTAGTCTGTCCTGAAAATGTGCAACTAATTATCTAAATGCACAGTTAATTTTCAACGGATGTAAATATACTTTCGAAGTAATCGTGTACAAAAACATATTAAAAACTTATCAAAGTTTTTAAAAAGGTCTAAAGTTAGGTCGAAAAATAACATTATAAGTTTATTTACTGTTAGTGTTAAGTACGGTAAAGTTTAAACCTAACTAAGCTAAGGCAAAAACGTACACAAGTTACAGTGTTAGTTTAATCTCGTTATCGAATACAGTATAAGCCGTATTTAGTTAATAAAGGCTTAGCTAATGTTAACCCTAAAACAAGTGGACATAGATTTTGGTTTCTGCGATTAGAATTATTTTGTATTCTAGGAAACCTATGTTTAAAGAAGAATGTTGTGCAACAAAAGTACTAATTTGATCGCAGGTGTTTGTCTCTGTTAGTTTTAAATAAATATGCAACTCCTGTTCTATCGCAGTGAACCTATAAAAACTCTAAGATAAGATAATGAACAAATTTATTTTTTATTCTTATACTGACTATAAATAAAATTTTTTGAAGTTTTAATAACAATATTTCTACGTACTTTTACATTTTTTCTACTGTTGCACTGACGCTACAACCTATAAATACAAGATTTACTTTTTACGCATATATTTATTTATTATTGACAAACACGTACAACGAAACACTTTACGTAAAATGCGTAGTAGTTGAATGACTTCAATAAAAGAGCAAGGGTTTATTGAATTAGTACAGACGAAGTGTATGAACAAAATGTGTTCAACTTATTATTAAATTATATAATTAAGTTTTTCCAGATAATATTCTTAATTTAAAACCTCATTTACTTGTAAGGATGATTTAACTTTAGAAATCCATTATGTAAACCTTTAATACACCCACATATAAATAATAGTTATATCTATGAATACACAGCTATAATTAAAGGACTGAGTGGACATACAGGACAAAAAATAATTAATTATACTTGTCATACGACTTTAGTATTAGGCCTGTTACAATATTTAACAGTGCATTCTTAACCTAGTCCTTAAGTGATTTTCAAGAATTAGATAATAATATTTCAACCATATTATACTCACCATATCTATTGCCGATGACATGTTCACATAATACTAATAGGCCTAATACTAATGTCTTGTTTGCCGATGAAATGTTCACATAATACTAATAGGCCTAATACTAATGTCTTGTTTGCCGATGAAATGTTCACATAATACTAATAGGCCTAATACTAATGTCTTGTTTGCCGATGAAATGTTCACATAACACTAATAAGCCTAATACTAATGTCTTGTGACAAGTATAATTAATTATAATCATAATACCACCTCAGGAAAGACATTCATATCATAACAACTATTGTGAAAACAAAATAAATTGAAAACAGTTCACTCATTATTATTGAATTCAAAACCAGAAATCCTTAAATGCTTCAGTAACATTACGAAATTGTGGCTAAAACACCTGTAATACTTACATACGGTTTCTTTCACAAAGCTCAACCTACGTGAAGGGAAACAATGTCGAAGCGTCCCTGGTTCCCGACTATTTGTTGAAATAGATACGATAGACACGTTTATATCTATATCTGTATGTTCTTTCATAATACACTAAGTTCGAGAGATAAGCTGTTAATCACGACAAACCGTGACTGATAGTAATTAAATGTACAGCAATTTGAAAAATATAAATCAAAACAAGTTTAAAGTACATTTCAAAGCACGTCTGATAAGATTACAGAGTGACATCGACTCGCATTCTGCAGGTCTAAGGTTCGAATCCTGTCGCCGAATATGAGGCGTGAGGGCGTTGTAATATGATGATTAATTCCACTTTTCGTTGGTAAAACAAAAGCCCATGGTTGTAGGTAGTGATGATTAGCTGCCTTTTCTATAGTATTTCACTTCTAAATTAGCGGCAGATAGCCCTCGTGTAGCTTCGCGCGAAGTTCAACAAAACAAAAACAAAAGGTGAAATATACAGTAACTATTCAGAGTGATACTTATAGAGAAGGCATTTGAGGACTAATCTTTAAAAATATTTCAGGACGACGTTTCGAAAGATTTGCTGTCCGTTGCGCCTTTGTTCGTCATGAATACCCTTCCTAAATCATTTATTTAAAAATCAATTCCTATTTAATATTTCATTTACTTATCTAAAACTTGAAACTGGTAGACTTTTGGAAGTTTTAGGTGGAACTCCCTTTCTTCAGGGTGGTACAAACTTCTACACTCACACGGCAATGTTCTGGAAGAGGATAGATATTTTCCTGTGTATTAACAATCTAAACGTCTCCGAGTTCTCATTTTAACGTTTCCTTAACAGACTTTGTGTATAACGTAAAATCTATTTAGAAAAACAGAATCTCTCTTCTTGTATGAATGTAATAAATAAAATGGGCGCTAAACAAAAACACACAAAGAGGTAACTAATCCATATTACAGAAACATCACGGTATAATACTAAGAATAACCAACATGGAATTAAGATAATTCAATGTGTAGATTATCTCCTTGCCACACCAACCTCAACATACCATTGAGTAAACGTCTTTAAGTTTAGCTCTATAATAGGCTAGCAGATTAGGTTTAGCTTTACCATATTTGACCAATGAAATGGCATAAAACATAATCAGTTGTAGTGATTTTTCATTGGATTAAAACATCCAGAAATCCAACCACCAGACCATGCCAGGCCACCATTGTTTGTTCAGCAATCTTTTTATTTATTACTATTTACATAGAAATCAACTTGGCACTGGTAAGTTATCAATAAACGTAACGGAGATAGAGAAATAACTTTTAATGGCTGAATGTGGTGATAAACAAACTTTAGTTTTATCATTACATCAAGGTCGTAACTGTAGCTCTGATAAATATTATCCAAAAATAGTAATTACTTCACTTTGAAATAAACATTTGTAAAGCTCATCAAATACTGAAGTAATATAACATAAGTACACAATTGTTTTTATAGGAGCATCAAAGTGTCCCCCCCCCATTGTGAAGCTCATCAAATACTGAAGTAATATAACATATGTACATAATTGTTTTTATAGGAGCATCAAAGTGTCCCCCCCCCATTGTGAAGCTCATCAAATACTGAAGTAATATAACATAAGTACATAATTGTTTTTATAGGAGCATCAAAGTGCCCCCCCCCCAGTGGCACAGCGGCATGTCTGCGGACTTACAACGCTAGAATTCGGGTTTCGATATCCGTGGTGGGCAGAGCACAGATAGCCCATCGTGTAGCTTTGTGCTTGATTATAAACAAACAAACAGGCATCAAAGTTTTCTGTTTATTGGTCGCTAAGCAGAAAACTGTCCCAGCATTTTAGCTTTACAATCACTAACGCTTCTCGCTGAAACACCGGAGAGGGAAGGGGGAGGAGGAAGAGACAATGAACAATGTTTTGAACAATTACACAACATTTCGGATAACATATTTAAACTAAGTACAGTGCTTTTAAAATAACTATTACGTGTTCTTAAAGTCTACTACTTGTGCAATCTGGAAACTCATTCTATTGACCTGTCATATTAACCAGAAAAGTATAAGGTGCTATCTTCCACGGAACAGTGTGAAACAGGATATTTTGTCACTAGGAGAGAGCTGCGAGACAGCTTTTCAAATAAATTTTATTAACATTTCAAAGCTGACATTTACTCTAAATGAAGCAAACTCTCGTGTTGAAGAAATCACGAAACCGAAAAACTAGGGATCTTTGAGCTTTGGAAATAGAGGTAATACAGCTTTAAATAATCAGAATATGCACCCATTACAGGCTGTTACCTTGACAATATTAAATAACAGGTATATCAGAAAATAATAAATCTATAATCCAGTTCATCTAATGATTTCTGAGTATGACTAATAAATGTGTGTAGATTGTTTATTGTTGGATGTAACCTTGACAACAATAACTTCTGGTATCTATGTTTATTGTTGGATGTAACCTTGACAACAATAACTTCTGGTATCTATGTTTATTGTTGGATGTAACCTTGACAACAATAACTTATGGTATCTATGTTTATTGTTGGATGTAACCTTAACAACAATAACTTATGGTATCTATATTTATTGTTGGATGTAACCTTGACAACAATAACTTATGGGTATCTATGTTTATAAACTCATAGGTGTGTAAGTTCATTGCTGGATGTGTAACCTTGATGACAACAACTTATAGGTGTGTAAGTTCATTGCTGGTTGTCTAACCTTGACGACATCAACTTATAGGTATGTAAGTTCATTGCTGGATGTCTAACCTTGACGACATCAACTCATAGGTATGTAAGTTCATTGCTGGATGTGTAACTTTGATGACAACAACTTATAGGTATGTAAGTTCATTGCTGGATGTGTAACCTTGATGACACAACTTATAGGTGTGTAAGTTCATTGATGAATGTGTAACCTTGACGACATCAACTCATAGGTGTGTAAGTTCATTGCTGGATGTGTAACCTTGACGACAACAACTCACAGTAAGTTCATTGATGAATGTGTAACCTTGACGACATCAACTTATAGGTGTGTAAATTCATTCCTGGACGTATTACCTTGATGACAACAACTTATAGGTGTGTAAGTTCATCACTGGATGTATAACCTTGGCGATATCGACTAAGAGGTGTGCAAGTTCATTGCTGGATGTCTAACCTTGATGACAACAACTTATAGGTGTGTAAGTTCACTGCTGGATGTCTAACCTTGACGACATCAACTTATAGGTGTACAAGTTCATTGGTGTATGTGTAACCTTGACGATATAAACTTGAGAAGATATCTTTCACTGCGGGTGATAACCTCGATAAAATCACACATTTTTTAGTAATAATTGTAAATTACAGTGTAATGCACTCCTCTGATCACACGGCATACAAACGATTATATATATACATACCAGTGCGCTGGTTCACTTGTCGGTCACTGGAACGAAACACACTTCCACTGGAATGACGTAGGAAGGGCGATGGCTTCCTTTAATACCATAAAAAATAATATATAATTTTTTTTTACATGTAACGAGAATCACAAAAAATCAAGCCTCAATTTTAAAATATGAAACTAATAAAAGAAATCAATAATGAATTATGCAGTGTATTTTAATTAGCTTTTGATATTTAAAAGAATTCGAAATTATGATTCTAGGAAAAACTTTTCACTCCTGATCGAGTGGGTATAACTTTCAAAACTGTATGCTTTTTTTTCCACAGTTCATGTTCTTATACACAACACCTCCAGTGGCTCAGCGGCACTTCATCAGACTTACAACGCTAAAAACCGGGTTTCGATACTCTTGGTGGGCACGGTACAGATAGCCCATTGTGTAGTGACTTCGTCAACTCTTTCACTGCCATATTATGTCCCCCCTTCTATAGCACTGGCACGAGAATCTTGAATCACCAAAAAGAAAAAAAGGATATTCTTCTTGAAACTTCCAAAGTTTATCTATAATCAGTTTAAAGTTTAAGAAGATATTAAAACACGTCTTTTTTCGTTATTATCATTGTGTATTAAAAGCTTAACACTGGGAGTTATCTGTGGACCTGGCAGTGAAATGATTAAGCCTAAATCCATATGTAACAGCCACTGAACGAAACAAATTCTCTAGTAACTCTGAGTTGGGACAACAAGACGTCCCGGGTTTTGGTAGTTTGTAGTTTCAGTGTCCCGAGAACTTTTCTCGGGACGCACAGAACGTCCCAGTTTTATGATAAAGACATCAAACTGTCGGTCATATCGAACCACAAATGTAATAGGTCTACTTGACTTGCTTATCATTGTAACTCGTACTTTTCTGCAGCCAAACCCTCTCGAAAGGTTTGTTTGTTTGTTTTTTGAATTTCGCGCAAAGCTACACGAGGGCTATCTGCACTAGCCGTCCCTAACTTAAAAGTACAGATTAGAGAGACGGCAGCTAATCAACACCACCCTCCGCCAACTCTTGGACTACTCTTTACCAACGAATAGTGAGATTGACAGTCACATTTTAACGCCCACAAGACTGAAAGGGCGAGCATGTTCGATGACGGGATTCGAACCCGCCACCCGCAGATTGCAAGGCCAGTGCCATAATAACCAGGTCTCCTCAGGCCCTGTACTTTGAATCTAACAGAGCAAATTGAAACCAAAACTCTGACCGTCTGGATAATGTCGTCATGAAACATCATTCTTCAGCTGTTGTAAAAGGTATACTGCTGCCTCATTTTTGTGAAGATAGTGAAAACTTCAGGTAGCACTGATGTGTTGCCTTAGTGAAAACTTCAGACAGCACTGATGTGTTGCCTTAGTGAAAACTTCAGACAGCACTGATGTGTTGCCTTAGTGAAAACTTCAGACAGCACTGATGTGTTGCCTTAGTGAAAACTTCAGACAGCACTGATGTGTTGCCCTGAAGTTTTCACTAAGGCAACACATCAGTGCTGTCTGAAGTTTTCACTAAGGCAACACATCAGTGCTAGCTGAAGTTTTCACTAAGGCAACACATCAGTGCTACCTGAAGTTTTCACTAAGGCAACACATCAGTGCTGTCTGAAGTTTTCACTAAACAGCACTGATGTGTTGCCTTAGTGAAAACTTCAGACAGCACTGATGTGTTGCCTTCGAGCTAACATGTTCAGCACTCCATCCAGAAAATTTCATCATCAAACATGTTTTTGCCAATGTGGGTGGAAATTAGGAAGCCGTAAACTTGTGTGTGTTTTTAGTATGACTATATGCAAATACTCAAATGTTAAACTTGTGTGTTTTTAGTATGACTGTATGCAAATACTCAAATGCTAAACTTGTGTGTGTGGCGAGACAAGATAAGTCTGTGATTGGTAATATGATGGCTGAAGCACCCTCACCTCATCATTTATGGCTGTTTATCTTGTATCTTGAACCTACTTTCTAAGGACATTTACATATTCAAAACTGTAAACAGACTTATAGAAACAGTCAAGCAGATTATAAAATTCTGCTGTTAGAAACGCATCCCACGAGAAATGTACTAAAATATGTTGAAGATGAGAAATGGATTGCTCTTCTTTCCACAGTCAATATTCGTTGGTGATCATTTAAAAAGTTGCTTGAAAAACATTTGAGTATTTGCATATAGTCATACTAAAAACACACAAGTTTAACATTTGAGTATTTGCATATAGTCATACTAAAAATGATTCTACACCATTACTGAAGACTTCAGCCGTATACCCAACCAGTGTAAAGTTCAGTTTTCGATTCGGTGGTCTTTAAAAAACTAGTTCGGGAAACACCAATCCGATTAAATAATTTCCATTCATATCTGTCCAACCATTCGACATAAGTGTCATTGAACCTACTTTAGTTATCTTCTTGTTGACAAGACTTTGCACCAATTGGAACTCTTCATTCAAGAAGGAATTTGAAAGGTGGAATTGTGAATAAAGCAGCATGAAAATATATTTTATTTTGCAACTCACGAAAAAAAATTTTTTTTTAATTCGCTTTCACTGAAACTTAAGAGGTTTGCAATTTCAACAGAATGCACAGCTCAGCTTTGGTGTCTTTCACTATTCTTCTGCTCCAGAGGTGACATTACATGAAGGAAGTTCACAATACAATAGTTGCTGGTGGGCAGTTAACTACCTCTCTACACTCTTAATCTATCACTTCGGAATTACGTATGGCTGCGCGCACAGTCGTTTCTGCACCTTTCTGCTGAGTTCTGAAAACAAACTGTCTTATCCAGGGTCGTCCAAAAGTCAATGGGATTATATGTTTGTGATGTCACAACTGGCTCAGATAATTAGTTAAAGAATTTGTCCTTGTAAATCACGTGGAAATTGGCTTAATTCTTCTCGAAATATCATCAGATCTCACTGAATGCCTTCGGTATTACTGCAGTTCTTAAGACTCTTTAGTTAAGACAAACAACACAATTTAACCGGCTAGAATGGAAAAACTTCATTTCAGACGAGTAATTAATCAGTGAACAGACTGCTGTGAATTTGTTTGTTTGCTGTTAAGCACAAGGCTGCACACAATGATCTGTCCGAACCGTTCCCAACTCAGGGATCGAACCCCGAAGTTTAGCGTTGTAATCCATCGAGCTTACTGAGAGATACTTTTGAAGAAAAAAGCGTCCATACTCTTCTAGATAATTCTCAACGAATCACGTTTTTTCTGGAATAATTTAACCATAATGGTAAGAAAAGGGAACCAAAGACCTATTTTACGGATGATGGTATAATAAATAGGTCAAGTTTATCGTCCACAAGTTTTTCTTAGCCAATTATAGACAATTTACGGCAGAAGTTAACTGGTGATGAATGAATGCTTTCTTAAGAGTGTTAATTCATAAAAAAAAGAAAAACTTGTTTAAAATGTAAAACTTTTCCTCCAAACAAAGGAAAGGTGTTCAAGGAAACCCACATGCTCTCTGTACATCGGAATGTGAAAAAAAAAAACTGTCGGTTATTAAATGACGAACTATGGGAAGTCGTGTAGTAGTAAAACGATTAGAATTTTTCTGAAAAAGTGAAAATCAAAACTACGATCATGATAAGACACCGTGAAGCTGCCTACTAGACAGATGTCTCAGCCAAATAATCGGCCGGGATTCGAACCCACAACTTTGTTTACCTGGCAGCTGTTAACTAAGCTACCTTCTGGTGCCATTTTTCACCGTTTCTGGAAGTTTTTACTTCGCGAGATAGCGCGTCACTCTTAAATTTTTTAGAGATAAAATAATACTCAAGAAAAGTATAGGTTTTCAGTAAAAGACATACACATAGTAAACCTGTGCCTCTTTATTTATTATTTTATTTTAGGAAATTCTAACTTCACGAGATGGCGCGTCAGTCAACAATCGATGTGTTCGAAGGAAAACGAAGTATGACAATGAAGTGGATAACGATACTTAAGATAATTCTAGATCAGTGTTGGCCTTGCAAAGGATATGGAAATTTGATAGCTTAAGCTCATGTCCTGTTGGTGTATAGAGGAAACACAAGGGTTACTCAACTTTTTTGTGTTTTCATTGAAATTCCCATATGTTCATTAGCTGTAGGTAGTAGATGGCGTTCGATTTTGCCCATACAGGAGGCCTTACAGTCTCCACACGTGTAACAGGACATTAACTTATCAAATTTTAATATCCTTTGCAAGGCCAACAATGATCTGGAATTACTGATCAAAGAAACTCTCCACATCAACCAGCAGTCTCCAACCCAGAATAACATGTAGTTTTATTTTAAATTAGACATTTTTAGGTATGTACAGTATTTTTATTTGCTACCCTTCTACTTTCTATGTGTTTTAGTTTTGATTAAATTGTCGTTAATGTAGCAATGTGTTTTAAGTTAATTGCTTAGGAATGATGTAATCCTATTATTTTACCTTCGACACTAAAGATGGAATCGGTAGAATTTCGTCTCCATTTGGCCCGGCATGACCAGGTGGTTAGGGCACTCGACTCGCAATCTGCGGGTTCGAATCCCCGTCACACTAAACATGCTCGCCCTTTCAGCCATGGGGGCGTTATAAGTGACGGTCAATCCCACTATTCGTTGGTAAAAGAGTAGCCCAAGAGTTGGCGGTGGGTGGTGATGACTAGCTGCCTTCCCTCTACACGAGGGCTATCTGCGCTAGCCGTCCCTAATTTAGCAGTGTAAGACTAGCTTTGCGCGAAATTCAAAAACAAACAATCGTCTCCATTTATCTGTTTCCCCTTCTGTTATAAATAATGTTGTTCATCTTAAGTATCGTCAACAAATGTACAGGTTTTCAATAAATGACATACACAGAGTAAACCGACGCCTACATATATTTATCATTATTCTGTTTAATTTTAGGAAATTACCCTTGTAGTCACAATTCAAAAGGTAAATAAAACGTAGAATGTCAAATTGTTGTTCCTACTCTGAGTTTCGGTTACTTTATCTTGTGATAAATACATAATTGATAGTAATATTACTAACATTAATTATGTAAATACATATGAAAATATAACAGGCACTCTATAAATTTAAAACGTTTCCAGCCTGAAATTATAACACTTTGATATTTCTATAATTTTATTTGTTTGTTGTTAAGCACAAAACTACACAATGAGCTATCCGTAATGTGCCCATCACAGGTACCAAAACCCAATGTTTAGTGCTATACAACTTCAGACTTACCGCTGAGCCACTGGGGGACTATTTTTATAAGAACATAATTATGGTAGTTAACTAGTAGAGAAGCAAGTCTAGAATGCTAGAACGTTACTTACACTTGTGATAAACATTAATCCACGTCTAAAACAAAACTAACACGAAAGGACTTTTAAGGAAGATATAGAAGAAAACCATCACACTTCAGTAATCTAGAAGTTTCTCGAACTTCAGCGTTTTTCTCCACCTTTTACCCAGTGTTTCGTGCAGAACACTTTGTAACAAGCAGAAGAAGAAATAACTTCAGACTCAGTGCTGCAGCCTACCCTCAGAATCAGTGCTACAGCCTACCCCCAGACTCAGTGCTGCAGCCTAGACTCAGACTCAGTGCTACAGCCTAACCTCAGACTCAGTGCTACAGCCTAACCTCAGACTCAGTGCTGCAGCCTAACCTCAGACTCAGTGCTGCAGCCTAACCTCAGACTCAGTGCTACAGCCTAACCTCAGACTCAGTGCCACAGCCTAACCTCGGACTCAATTCTGCAGCCTCCACCAATAACCAAGGTATACTTTAGCTATTAATATTTCAGTTGTGCAATTAGAACGTTTCTATCGATACACGTAGTTCTTCAACATAACGCCCACGAGTTCATATTGAGAATCAGAAAAATGGAACCCCCGAAACAAACATCATAATCATAAAAGGCAAGTGTTGGTTGGTCAGTCTAACGGTTACGCTCGATTTCTCCGAATTTCGTGAGATACGCGAGTCCAATTCCACTTTTTCTCCTATAATACTTCATCTTTGATTGCCCTGTTCCCATTTTAGTTCAATTTAATCGCTAACGAAGGTGTAAGTAGCTCCTAAATTTCTGCACTTTTTTCTGCTATATAAAAGCCTGTCAAGGAGGGAGTTTCCAGGACCAGATCAGGCAAGGCGTTATGTGTGACACCACATCATCTACATCATTATGACGTCAAGCTAAGTAAAATCCAAATAGGAAAGCCGGGAAGACCCCTGTGATGGAAGACAAGGAAGTGCTTTCGCACCCTATCAACGCCTGTGAGAAATAAGTCAAAAATTAGCACAAATCTGTGCTTGGGAATTATTACAAAAACATCTTTGTTAAAACAGGCTGAAGATACCAATTATCTGTAGGGAAGATGAGGACTTTTCCTTAAAAGAAGAACAGGTGTGTATGCAATTACATGGTCATCGTATGTTTTAATCTTTTATCTAAAGGCACCAATATGTAGCATGTTTGCTCAGTTATATGTAGTGGATTCAGGATTAATATGTAACATGTTCCTGGGAAAGGTTTGGTTTGTTTGGAAGTTCGCGCATACCAGTGAAAGACTAGAGAGAGAAGGAAACTAGTCATCACCACCCACCGCCAAATCTTGGGCTACTCTTTTACCAGCGAATAGTGGGATTGATCGTCACATTTATAACGCCCCCACGGCTGAAAGGGCGTGCATGTTTGGTGGGACAGGGATTCGAATACGCGACCCGCAGATTGCGCCATAACCACCTGGCCATACACGGAAAGAAAATTTTATATTTTTCTTATTTATTTCGTTTGTGCATTGCCAGTTTTATGCATAATAGTTTTGTTTTCCAGTGGTTTCTCGTCATTTTTGTACGGGCTTTTACCCTAATAAATGTTTGGTTAGACATAGGCAAAATAAGCTTCACAAAAGTGCATTGCAGTTTTACAGTTTACGTTGATTACGTATGATAGCTTTACACATGAAATGATAGTTTTAAAAATATTGGTATTAAAAATTGAACAATTCCTTAAACTAATCAATGGGGAGAAACTCGTAATTTCTGTCGTTCTTGGGAAGTATTTAAATACTCAAGTTTACATTCTGTTATATTAATAAATCATTACTAACGTTTTTTAACACTCACTTAAAGGCCATTAGTAATATTTTATTAATCATGTTGTAATGACAAAAAAAATCAAGAAATAGCATGATTAAAATTTTAAAAATAGGGTTAAGTATACAGAATACAATTTAACATCTTATTAATTCTTTTAAAATCCAAACTACAATTTCCAGTCTCATAAGGAACAATATAACACACAATAATTTTGACCCACTCACCCAACTTACTTTTACTGTGGCCCACCTGTTTATTTCGATTAGTTACTTACACGACGACCCCTTACCATCGGCACACAGATTGAAAGTCGAGTCCCTAAACACCGAACCGTCCTCAAGGAAAAACCCTTATTTCAAAGTTTTAAGTTGATTTTTATCACATGAATTTGTAGAAGTACGATGAAATTATTATTTTTTATCAGAAAATACATAATTAAAAAGAACAAAAAAAAAACATTTGATGAGCAGAGCAACACGAGGGAAATATTTTGATCAGTTTGGGTTATCATTAGCTTAAGAAAATGTATATAATTGGGGGAGGGTTCGTTTTTTTTTGTTTGTTTTTTTTAATTTAGCGCAAATCTACATACTTTTGAACCGATACACTAGATGGAAGGCAGCTAAGCAATAAAAACCACCGCCAACTCTTAGTCCTGTCTGATAGAATAGTGGGATTTCACTATCATTCCTACAGCGAAGCAAACCATAAATCATCGGATTCACGGCCCAGGCTTGTTAATCACTAGGCCACGCCCGGTCCATAAAATCGTGTAAGATAAACAGTAAGCCCCTAGAGGTGTCAATGATGAAGTTATTACTTATGATAGAGATACCTATGTTGTATTTGGCAATGAACACAAAATGATCATAGAACAAAAAAAAAAAAGCTCGGTTTACCCACGAACCAGTCGTCACGTGATAAACAACAGGACTGCACACAAAATGAGGGCTGGTAATTGTTATTATTTATACTTACCCGGTGTTAAAGCAAGGAATAAGACAAGGACGATTCACCAGAAGCCAAATCGTACCGTCAACTGTACCACAGTCACTCCTTCTGTACGCTAACAAGTTAGTACCACAGCTCCAGACCGCCACACGTGCTGTGAAGCGTTATAGAACCACATCCGTCTGGTGTCCAGTGTTTGTACTATTTCATGCATAGTTTTTCAGCATCGTAGCTCATCTGCATAAAATGTCAATAATTAGAGAAAAACAGTGTTATCACGTGACTAGTAGGCCGAAGGTCAACATATACGATAGCGTTTTGATAAGATTCCGCGCAGTCAGAGGGTGTGACGAAAAGAGATAAAATTGTTTTTATAAAGTCCTTGAATTCCTCAGTGCTTATCGTAAACATCACAATATGACGTACACTTCTTAATGTTTTCAATACGGAGTCAGTAACTCATGTGACCCGTGACACAGGGGGTCATGGTCGTCCCATACCCGATGATAGAGTCGGTACGGAGACACACAATTATGTGTAAATACTTTCCAGTTATTCCTGGAGATAGTCTTATCTTAGACAAGATCGAAAGACTTCCGAGGACGTAGCTTCCGTTGTTGTTATCTTTCCGGGTGTCCGTTTTCCAGATATATATACACCAGTCTATGCGGTTTGCTTGTTTCGAATATTTGCACAAAACTATACAATGGCTATTTGTCCTTAATTATGAACTAACAGAACAGAGAAAAGGCAACTGGCCAACAGCACCTACCGCCGACACTTGGGCTACTCTAATCGAAATGGGATTTGACTGTCACTCTCAAAACGCACCCACGGCTCCAAAGTGCAGGTCGCGAAACACACACCATTGTTTATAAATGAGTGAACTAGAACTGAACCTGAAAGTATAATATCTAGCGAGTGCGTTAGTTTCAAAACAACAGAAAATGTTCTTGCTATTAAATAACAAAAAAAAAAAAACTGAATTTTATTACCTCTCATTATTTCGAAATGAATTTCCGTAACAACTTCCAGGGTTGAAAATACTTCCTACGCTATTGTCTGATAACAGGAACCTAATATATCCAGGAAATATCTTTCTATATTACTTTTCGTAAAATATGGGACATAACGTTTCCAAGATATATATATATACCTATACTGTCCGTAGAAAAGGAGCTTAATATATTCAGAAGATAACCTTCTATACTACAGTTCGTAAAAAATTGAACTAAATATGTCCATTAAATAACTTCATATAGTATTGTTCGCTAAAATAAGATCATAGTGAGTTTTAGAAATATTTTCCTACACAGCTGTCCTCAGAAAAATGAATATATCTAGGAAATACCTTCTTATACTATTGTTCGTATAAAATGGAAATGTACAAATAATATCTTCATAATAATGTCCGTTAAAAATTAGCCTAATATTTTCAGAAGATACATTACTATACTCCTATCCATAAAAAATTAAAACTAGCATATCCAGAAAATACATTACTATGGTTCTGTCCATAAAAGAATGGAACGTAATATACCCAGGAAATATCTTATTGTACGTAAACAATTGAATCTAATGAGCCCAGGCTATACATTCCTATAGTGTTATTCGTAAAAGAAGGGAACCTAATAAATTGCCTATCGAAATCGTTGTGGTGGTTACGTATTCTAATTTAATTCCTACAGTTAGAGATATTGTAGTCTTAGATGCGAGTTATCAGATGAATGATGATAAACTGAATAATCCATGTTAATTATAACTAACAATAAGTCAAATCTTGATAAGGTTTGTTACCCTTAAAGTAAACGTAGTTGTTAATATCCTTCACACAGCAGTACGTTATTCTTGTACTACAGCTTGTACGGGATAAGGTTTGTTACCCTTAAAGTAAACGTAGTTGTTGATATCCTTCACATGGCAGTACGTTATTCTTGTACTACAGCTTGTACGGTATCTCCACACAACGTATAGATACGTACCTATATACTTTAAAAACTTATCACTACAAAGCTATCATGAAAATGTTTCATGAGTAAATCCACCAGAGTGAGCCGAGCTTAAGCTTAGTTATGATTCACGTGCCGGACTATCAATCTCAGGGTTTGTGGTTCACATCCTGCTGCTGCAAATTTGTTTGAGGACGTGGAGGTGTTATAAGAGTGACAGTCGAATTCCACTATTCAATTGCAGTAGCCCAGAGTTGGTGGTGGATGTTGTTGTCTAACCGCCTTCCCTATAGTCTTTCTGGTCAAAATTACAGACGGGCTAGCGCAGATAGCCTTTGTATAGCCAGCCATGCCTTGAAAGCTGTCAAACTAGAAAGTGCATCTCTACACATACGTATAAACCAGTCAATGTAACAAACTACTGATGTAATGGTTTAATAATGTATTTTCATCAATTCCGCTCATTCATCACGAATTTCTGTTGTAGGGAATTAATCTACACGCTCCATTTAAAACATGTTAAAGTAGGATGTGCAGACGACAAGCAACTATCAAATCCACTTTTAAATATTCTTTTTTGTTCTTCTTACAACACTTTTCAAAACAAGAAGTCAAAGAAAGAACGTTGCTCCTCTGAAGAAAAGTATAATTGTCCCATACTTCAAATATGAGATACGAGCAAGAAACAGGGTATATTTTTTATTCATCTTCCAGAGCTTGAAACATCCAACCACGTGACATGGCATTATTTTTGTCCATTCTTTCCTGAGCAAATGTGAATTGTATCTGTTATCCACGGGAATCTAATAATTATGACGTGAGTTCACATAGAACAACCACGTGATTTCCTATGCTTGAGGCTTGAAGAAAAAACGAACATTTTAGGTACTGGCTTAAACTCAGATGGTCGAATGACGTTTCTACCCAATATTCACATAATTTCGAAATGGTGTATTTAAGTGTTTTACACTCACAAAAAAGAAACCTATCATTCTATAGGTATTTGAAGAACTTGTGTCATTCCACCACAAAACAATTCTTCGTATTGTTAACCGACTCTATTCAATTATGTATCAGCTGCCCAGTGTCGGCTAACAATACGAATAATTAAATTGTGG